TATGTGGGGAATCGAAGAATTGGGAAATTATCATTAGTAAAAATTGAAGATCCGATTAGAGCTGGCTTTGAAAGTTTGGAAATCTGGGTAATTTCGTGAATTTCCCGTGATATAGTTATTTGCGTCTGTTCACACCTTTTTGAAAACAGCTATAAAGAAATATCGATATGAGGAATGGACTAGGAAACTCTTTCAAACGGAGATTTTCCTATTCTATTCTCCATATATGGTTTGGAATGAAATTGGCTCCTGTCTTGGTCTTCAACTGTGTGCCTACTGGAATGCCGGTACGTAGTAGATTATCATTATCATGGCATCAAAGTCATGGCATCAAAGTCATGTCAGCCAAGGTGAAATGTAATTCCAGTAGAGATATGGCTTCGAAAACCAATAGATATTTGTTTCTTTGCCAATGTACAATGCCCTACTAGAAGTTATGGAGATTTTTAACGATCAAATTATTATTAAGGCATCTTTTTTAAAATGGCCAACACACTAACCAACGCTAATAAATAAAATGAAATCAGATTAAAATGAAATTTTGTATAGTGTGTAAAATAGACAAGCCACGGAAAAATACAAAATTTTGATATGCTTGATATGCATTTTTTTTTTAGTGTTAGGGGGGTCAAACTTTTAGTTTTTATAGTACGTAACGGTAAAGCAAGTATAGGAGGTTAGTGGGATTTAGGAGGTTAACTGACTCCAAATTTCATTTTAATCCAATTTCATGATAATCCGCGACAAATAAATGTGATCAAAATGTATTTTTAATTATTTAGTGCATTGCATGCAACCTTAACGTTAATGATTGATTTATTCTCGATCCATACTATCAAGATTTTTTGGTATGTTTTTATACGTAGAACTATTTTGCCATACTTTAAATCTGTATGTGGGGGTTTCCTGCGATATGCGCATTTTCTAACGTCTAAAAAGTTTTGATGAGAGTATATATATATATATATACGTGTAATATGATAAATAATAATTTTTATTAAGCCCCAAACTTATCTTGTTCTGATACTGTATATAGTATCTAACATTTTAAATTAAAAGTATATAAACCAAGAAAATCGTCCTTTATCTTTTAAATCGTAAAGTTTTAAACCATAATCTCTTGGTTGTTATACTCATTTTGACATTATACGTACGTACGTACGTACTGTTCGTAGAATTAAAGAATTATGTTGTGCTTTTTCAGTGAAATCAATTAAAGACATTAAAACTAGATAACTTAGAATATAACAATAATACTACGAAATTATCGTTTTTTTTCTTGATGAATCAGAGGCGCGTAGCAAAACTCTTCAGCACCATAAAAAAAAGAAGGCTTTGAAGTTTAAAATGGCACAATGACAATGCTTTGTTTGGATAACGTTAAAGATATCTTGGGTCGCTATAAATTCCTTATTTGTGGGACAATGGGATATATATCATTTTGATTTATTATGACTCAGCCGGGCTTATAATTGCCGCAGCCACCATCGGCACTATAAACACGAAATGTAAAAAGGTCGATAAGTTTCCTTAACGTTCACAAAAAAAAAAACAAAAAAAAAAAAAAAAAATGTCTACGAAAATATTGACTCCAGAAGAGAAATATGAACTCATAACAAGAAACCTTCAGGAAGTATTGGGGGAGGAAGAAATTTTAAATATTTTAAAGGAAAGAGATTTAAAACTCTACTGGGGCACAGCTCCTACCGGAAAGCCACATATTGGTTATTTTGTTCCAATGTCAAAAATTGCTGACTTTCTATCCGCTGGAGTTGAGGTTTGTTCTCTTTTGCACTCGAAGTTATACTAAAATATGTAAAATTAATCTATTTATTTATGGTTTAATCTAGGTCGTTATTCTTTTAGCTGATATTCATGCGTTTCTTGACAATATGAAAGCTCCTTTGGATCTTGTAAAACATCGAACAAAATATTATGAAGTGCTTATTAAAACTGTTCTTGAATCAATTGGTGTACCTATCGAAAAATTGAAATTTGTTGTTGGTTCTACCTACCAACTTTCTACTGAATATAGCATGGATAATTACAGATTGTGTGCTACGGTAACTGAACATGATGCAAAAAAAGCTGGTGCTGAGGTGGTCAAGCAAGTCGAATCTCCCTTATTATCAGGGTTGTTATACCCAGGATTACAAGCATTGGATGAAGAATATTTAAAAGTTGATGCTCAATTTGGTGGTGTTGACCAAAGAAAAATTTTCGTATTTGCTGAAAAATACTTGCCTCATCTTGGATATAAAAAGCGTGCTCATCTTATGAATCCTATGGTTCCCGGTCTTGCTGGTTCAAAAATGTCTTCCTCTGATCCTGATTCAAAGATTGATCTTCTTGATGATGAGGCTACAGTAACACGTAAATTGAAAAAAGCTTTTTGTGAGGAGGGTAATGTGACCGATAATGGTATTCTTTCCTTTATAAAATCGGTCTTGTTTCCACTTGGTTCGCTTAATGGTCAAACTCCAAAATTCATTATTAATCGTCCTGAAAAATTTGGTGGTCAAGTTGTCTATACGGATTATCAATCATTAGAAGATGATTTTCGTGATAAAAAAGTTCATCCTGGCGATTTAAAAAGCGCGGCTACAAATGCTATTAATAAATTATTGGATCCTATTAGGAAAAGGTGGGCATCTGATCCTGAACTACCAAAGTTAACCAGCCAAGCATATCCAGAGCCAGGTAGCAAAATAACAAAAAAGAAAGAATCAAAGAAACATAACCAACCACCTCCTAAAGTTCCTAAAACTCCTACTGAATTGCCTGTGGATATTTCAAGGATCGGTGATTATTTTAAAATTTATGTGGGCTTCAAAATATTATATTAGTTTAACTTTTTGTTTCATATTCTTATTAGATGTTCGAGTCGCAAAAATTTTGAAGGCAGAAAATCATCCGAAAAATGCCAAATCTTATGTATCAACTGTTGATGTTGGTGACGCATCTGGTAACCCACGAACTGTAGTTTCAGGTCTTGCTGCTCATATTCCATTGGAACAACTCCAAGGTCGTTATGTTGTTGCTGTATGTAATCTAAAACCTGCAAAATTGCAAGGCATTGAATCTCAAGCCATGCTTCTCGCTGCTTCTTCGCCAGATGGCAGTCAAATTGAATTGTTAGATCCACCTACGGAATCTGATATTGGTGAACAAGTTATTTGGAAAGGATATGAGCCTGCAAAAAGGGATGCTGAAATATTAAATCCTAAACATAAAGTATTTGATCAAGTTGCTGAATGGCTTCGAGTAAATGAAGAGGGTGTGGCTTTATACAAAGATGTTCCTTTTGAGACTAGCAAAGGTGTTGTGACAGTGAAAACTTTAAAAGAAGGCACTATTCGATAGAACGACTTGTTAGAATTTTAGTGATTGTTATAAATTTGGTTTCTTTATATATTAAAATATATGTACTTAATATATTAATTGGTTATATAGAAGCTAATTAGATTTCAAGATCAGGTGTAATGTGGAATTTAAAAAATTAAAAAAATTATCAGTAATTTAAAATTTTTTTTTATTAATTAAAAAAAATTTTTATTAAATTCAAATACAAAATGGTTTAATTTTGTCAAGATTTAGATTAAACATTATATTAATAATAGAGAATTTTTATCTGTATCGGTGGTATAATATCCCGTTATAAAAAAAAAAAAAATCAAAAATCATATTTTAAATTTTATTAAAGAAAACTATATATTTATAGATATTTTATTGTAAGTAAAATTGTTCAGTATTTAATTTTACATACGGTGCTAAACAGTGTTGTATATTCAATTGTTTTTAAATTAATTGATAAATATATGTTCAAAACAAATTGAACCATATATTCAATTAATTTGAAAACAATTGGATTTAGTAATCTTCATAATATTGGTACTAAATATCTTAAACTAGCAAGTAAAATAGCTAATTTTTAAATTATATTACAAAAATAACTAGTATAGCTAAACCAATTTTTTTGTAAAAATATAGAAAATAAATTACAAGAATTAATTTATTAAAGTTTAAAGGTAGAGGGTAATGTTGATCATTTTCATATGACCTGCATGGTAGATCGGAACTTTATAAGGTAACAAAAATGTGTCACTGATAAAATTTTTTAAAGCCACAATTAATTTTTATCAAAATTTCGTGGCTTGTAGATACAAACCCCTATTTATAAATAGTCAAACTTTTAGGGGCATATTAATTTAAAAAAACATACTTGCATATATTGTAAAGTTTTTCCGTGATGCCTCAAAATTTTCTAGGTAGTACAAAATGCCTGATTCTGATTGGCTGATGTCATATGATCTTCATAAACAATTAATACTATCTAAACTTTAAAATAATTATATTTTGCTGAGTTTAATCCTAATTTAATAATTTTGTTATTGTTAGAATCAGAAAAACCTACTCTACAATTTTATTTAAAAATATAAAA